GTTGGGGATTGTCCGCGAAACGTTTTTCCCACCAATATATACCGATACACCGTTCGCACCGATACACCGAGACACCAGTGAAAAAAGAAACGATCGGCGCAACGGGAAGAGGCACGGACGGCAACGCACGCACAGAATTGGTTATTAGCATCCATACGTTGGCAAAGTGTTCAATGTTTATCTTTTTCTTGCCGCGAATGCGGGGATTTTTTACGATTTTTACCATTGGTTACCGCGGATGTTGGTAAAATATTCGATCTTCATCTTTTTTTGCGCCAATGTATCGCAGAATTGCTTCACCACCCCAATCCCACCCCACCCTGCCTGGAGGACCCCTTAAATCCATTGGTTCATGATTACCATTGGTTAATCAATGGTTAATCATATGATTATCCCAAATTGTCCCTGTTTGAATCGAACATATTGGAACGCTCGGGGATATATCCGATATATCCCCTCAGACAAAGCCCTTTCGGAAGGATCCAGCAGCTCGACCCACAGCAGAGCAAGTGTCCCAAGAGCTGGAAGCGCTTCTTAGCTCTACAAATTCCTCGTGAGATTTTGACCATGTGATGCCATGTGACAGTGAGATCTGATGGAATTTTGAACCGGAAAGAACTGGAATCTGGGACTGGTGTTATTTGTGTTTGTTTCCGAGAGCTTCTAATTCGCCATCATTCGGCGCAGTTTTTGTCCCACGTGAAACGTGGTGGCTTATGCTGCCAAGCAGCCAAGATTAATGGCATTTCGGTCCGGTGAAACTGGAGTCAGAAAGATTTAGTGTTAGTGACCACGTTGCGAAGTACATGGCTGTAATGAGGCAGATCAAAATGTGTCTTTGATGTAAGTGATCCTGTTTTTTCCTCAAGCTGTGTTCAAATGTGTCATTGCAGCTATTTGCTTCCAATTTTTTAGGCGAGTGTATAGCATCGGAAGTGTCGCCCCGAAAAAAAAGAGAACCAGTTGGTTTGGCAACGGATTCGTCACAGTCTCAGACAACAACTCATCCCAGGAGGAGGATTCCAAATCTGCCAAGAAGAAATACCGAATTACGCAGATGTACAGGCGCTGGCACCATTCGTTTCCAGTTCTGTTCTAGACTTTGATGAATTTGGAGAATCCAGTCGGTGTATCTAAGGTTTCGACAATTTGGAGTGGTTTCAACATTGCAACAGGTCTAGAATAGATAAAGCAATGACAACTTATTGAAATCCAGAGCTGAAATCCCCTGTCCATCCCCTGTCCATCCCCTGTCCAGCGCCACGATGCCTCCGGCCATCGAACGAATGGCACGCAGCTTCCTTCGGCCGGGTCCTTGAACGAAAAGGCCAAAAGGTCGAAGATTGCAGCTCCAGAAAAGGATACAGAAAGTGTTCTTTACTTTGCTTAACTTCGCTTTATTTGCTGCATCAAAGAGAGTTATGGAAACCGTTTAGGAGTCGACACGTTGGAATCCGATTTCGACTTTTCAGGTGTCCTGCTATCATCAACGTGGGTGATCCAGGGCAGGCCAAGAAGGACACCGGGGGCACAGGAAGATCCAGATCCAACGAGTGAAGTTCAGCGAAAGCCACTGCAACTCAGAAGCCACTTTGGGAATATATTTAAAATACATTGTTATATCTTTAAAATATATCTATAATATATATATATATGGGTCTATAATTTGTGTATTAGTATTGGTAGTCTTTATTTTTTCTTGTTTTCTCTGGAAGATATCGGCCCAGGACATTGAGCAGAACTTGGAGTTCATTGGTGAGGTCAGAGATGCTGTGTATTTCCAGGGGACTTGCCTTGGCAACTCCGGGGCATGTGCCAGGCCAAGAAAAAGAAGCGCTTGGAAGAGATGTTGGTGGGTGCGGAGCCGCCCATTATTGTTCATGTCTCAGTGGGGAAAAAAAGTGACATTTATTATCACCCTGTGTTTTTTTCGACTCTTTTGTGTTGAGAGTTCCTTGTCCACCATATTTCTTTGGACTTTGACGACTGAAGGTCTTTGTGAACCAAAAGAAGGCCGTGGATGTGCTGTCCAAGTGGCCTCCTAAAGACAGAGGGACATCCAGGAATCCCAGGTCCTTAGACGTCGACTTCTCTTCATCCCAGGTCCTTAGACAACAACGGCTATCGCGTTTGCTCCATCCACGGTGGAAAGAGCCAGGACGGCCTGAAGCATTCTGGGCCAATTCTGATGGATACACTGAGACTTGGGGTAGAAAGATGTAGAAAGGTTTCAGATGGTTTCAGAACGCTTTCGCAGGAGCAGCGCGAATGGGCAATGAACTCCTTCAAGGAGGGCAGGCACGCCGCTAAGATTTACACTTCCGAAGACAGAGACGCGAAACTCTAAGACCAGATTTTACGAGACAAATAATTGGCTACATGACCAGTATATGCCTCATTGCCATTATAAGTTCATCAAATGATCAACAGATATTGAATTCCATAGTATTATGGCTATATGTTATTATATATGTTATATATATGTTATATATATATATGTTATGATTATGTATCCTTATAGTTCCGGATTGTCGTTTCTTGTCAATTCTGCCTGGAAGTTTTGAAGGTACGACATTCTGGTGGCGACCGACGTGGCCGGTCGTGGTTTGGATATCGAGGGCGTGCAGCGTGTCATCAACTTCGATATGCCAAAGACCATCGAGGCTGCGAAAAAAAACTCGGGTTTTCTTTGCAAATTCTTCGGAAAACAATGGAAAACAAAAGAAAACATGGCACACGCATATATATATATATATCTATACATACACACAAGTAATGCATCTGTATGTGTGTATATCATCATGTTCCCTATTTACAACTGCCGTTTTGGGGGCTACCCCACTTTCACACCCAAGTGCAACAAAACTTTGAGCAGCGCCCAAGCGACGCGAGGACTACACGCACCGCATTGGACGAACTGGCCGAGCGGGTCTGAAGGGTTCTTGTCTCAGCTTGGAGTCACAATCACTATACCAAAACTGCGTGAAAGTGACCAGGAGATTGCCATTTTGATAGGTTACAAAGCTAACCGCCATGGACCACATTGACCACATCGACCGTACTAAGGATTGGCGATTTCCTTTGTGACTCCAGAGGACCTGAGTTTCTTTCCAGGATGTTTCTTCACAGATTCTGCCAAAGTCTGCCAAATTCTGCAGATGCCATTCGCCAAGGACTCTGAGATCTTCTATGATCTGACCAATTTCCTGAAGAGTTCCAACCAAGTCGTGATGCCCTGCATGTCTTGCCATGGCAACACCATGTGATGTCCAAGAGACCGGCTCCTCCATGGTCCACTTGGACCATGGTCCACTTGGCAGATTCCTCCAGAGCTTGCTTCCCACCCGGCATCCAAGTCTACAACCCAGTGTTGATGTGATGAAAATGACACGACAGGGACACAACAGGGACACAACACTGAAAATTGGTGAAACCTGAAGCGCTCCTATTTTTGTTGGTTTGAAAGTTTGACCTCACACTGTCACACTGAACAATCATGGAAATGACCAGTAACTGGAACCAGCTTGTTTTTTTCACCGAGGTTCAAGCCGGGCACCGTCAACGAACACGGACAGGCCGTCCAAAAATCACCATTTTGACCTCGCCGCAGTCGCCAGTGCTTCGCCGCCAGGTCATGGGTCGCAAGCTCGTGGACCAAGTGGTCTTCGCCAAGAAATGAGGCGCCCAGGTGCCTGCCTGCGGTCGTCACAGGGTGGAGAAACACAACAGTTCTGTACTTGTTCTGTACTTTTTTTGAGGAATTTCAAGAATTGTTCTGTACATTATTGTACATGTCTCTACATTCTCTACTTTGCACAGCGCACAGCCATTGCACAGCCGCCATGTGCCACGCCCTGTGGCCCTGTCTGTTCAACTCGTTATGATGTCGTCTCACAGATCTCCAGCCTCCAAGCTCAGCCAAAAGAGTCAAAAGAGTGGGCGCAGTATGTTGCGGAGTGTGTAATCTTTGAGAAGAGGTTTGTTGAGTTCTTGAAGATGACATGGGTTTTTTCGGACATAGCAGTACTTGTTTGGGATTGGGCATAATGGGACAAGTTTGAAGAGAGAAAAATTGCATTGAAAACTTGAAGGTTGCACAGAGCAATGCTCAAGCTTCTTCCCTTGAGACACGCTGAAAAGATATAGATGTTTTGAACCATGCCTCAGAGTCTCTTCATTTTGCTGTAGGTCCAATGACGACATGAAACTCAGAAAACAAAGTTGGCTTGTAATGCAGTGCAAAACAAACAAACAAACAAACAGACAGACAGACAGACAAACAGACAAACAGACAAACAGCCGTCGGCATGGTCCGAACATGCGACTTTCCGCGAGGCTATAGTTGGTATGTGAACAAAATGAAATTTGGCGCAACGAGCTACTATAGCCCTGATGTATGTTTGAAGCTGCATTTGTTCTGAGCTTTTCTGAAAGACAGTGCAGTCGGAATTATTAAAACACTCTCAATCTTTGTGCAGGTTCGGTGATGAGTGGCCGCAGTGGCCAACGCAGGAGCTTCAGGAAATGCTTTGAGACAAATGGATGCCCTGGCAGGTAACCTGCTCCGACGCAAGATGACAGTAATAAATTGGGGGGTGATCATTGAAATATCAGGTTATGACTGGGGAAGTACCCCTAATTAATGGTTTATTAGTACTATGGTTTATTAATGGTAATTATGTCAACTACTATGGTTTATTAATGGTAATTATGTCAACTACTATGGTTTATTAATGGTAATTATGTCAACTACTATGGTTTATTAATGGTAATTATGTCAACTACTATGGTTTATTAATAAACTATGGTAACTATGGTTTATTAATAAACGGAGTTGACATGAGTACTGCAATCAACTGCACTCCTAGGCCAAGACATGGGCCGCTGCAAGGCCTTGCTTTGCATAGTGTCCCTTCTCCTCGAACCTCTTCCTTTGCTTCCTACTAACTTCCTACTGTTTCCTTCTGTTCACCAAACAGGTCTCGTCTTGCATCTTGGGATCATGCAGTTGGGAGATGTTGAAATGTATTAGTTTGAAATTTGAATCTACTTGGACTTAAGTAGTGGCAAAGCGGCCAAGCAGATAGGTGAGCTCTCGCAGCTTACTTTGAGACTGCATTGAACATCAGAAAGTGGTAGTCTCTCTAGACATGCATTGCACGCATCGCAGTGAAATGCCAAAAACCGCCCCTTTCATAACCCACAGCAAACCGCTCGAAGCTTTTGTCCATTCAATTTCAGCAAACGCCAGGGATGGAATGTCTACCTCAGATAGTCTGGGGCTGCAGATTTTTCTTCGCCTGGTTTTCAGGGTGGCGGACTGTCAAGTGGAGTATCATGACAATTGTGTTCAATGTGCACTGAATCAAAACAGATATATTTGTCGAAAGTCAAACTAAATTTGCTACAACTTTGTCCCAAGCTCGCACGTGTCCCCAAGGTATCCTAGTCACACACGCTTTCCGAATTTACATAAAGATGCACTCAAGTTGCGTCTGGTCTGTTTTGCTTCAGCTTTGGCAGTTCTGTTTTTGATTCTCCCTGATTTGCCATTTGACTCCCAAGGACGTGCCAATGAAACGCTGGAGTTCCTTTTTCCAAGCAACTCTGCGGCATTTTCTGGACCTTTTCCAAACTGTTGCAGTTTCTGAAGGCTTCCCATCTAAGTCCTCAGATTCAGTGAAGCGGTCGGATGATGTGTCCTGATGTGTCCTGCGATCCTTGCCTGTCTGGAGGTCAGAGAATACACTGATTCCAATTCTCTGGGTCTCATTGGTTGTTTCTTGGGCGCAGGTTCCGTGCAAGAAGATCATCAATGATGCGCCAATGCCTGAGAATCTGACCGCGTCAGACGCAACAAAGCGTCAGACGCAACAAATCAGGAACTGAGTCAATGAGAGGTTGAGTAAGTTGTGCGTTTTTGGTCAAAACATTTCAGAGAGAGAGAGAAAAAAAAAAGGGCGCCAATGACCTCTTTCGGTGTCGAATAGGTCCGTTCGATCCTTTCTGAGGTATTTCTGCGCCCACTCCTCAGGCATTCCTCAGAGGAAATTCTGCACTTTTTTCCTCAGGCATTCCAAAATATTCAGTGCAGATAGTGCAGGCTGCTGTGCCCATCTGCGGAACGCGAGGCTGGACCCCATGATTCGGCGAAACCCAAAGCGGCCGTGGACTCAGAGTCACTTAGAGTCACTGAGACTTCGAGCAGTGTAGGCATAGAGTTCCTCAATGAAACACGAAGATTCAAGAATATTATAATATTATACTATGATATGGTACATATAATATTATAATATGGTGGTATGTCAAGAAATAAGAAGATCAAGAAGATCAAGAAGGGATCAAAATTGACATAAAATGACAGCTGAGTCAAAGTCACTGTCCAAGGAGTTGCCGCAGCACTATGCCAAGTCCTTTGCAGAGCAAGTGGCTGTGCTGGGCGAGTTTCATACCCAGTGGATCTGAGTGGGAATCATCTCGCTACAAAGGTGTTTTGAGTCAAAACGATTTCTCCAATTCTATCTCACTGTGTGTGTGTGTGTCGCTTTGCAGACTTGTCACCGATTGCAGTACATGTTCCAAGGTCTTCAAAAGAGAGCGTTGTTTTCTTGGGAAAGGCACGGGGTGTTTGATCCATGTGTGGCTTAGTTGTGTCATTTTGGTTTGCAGGTGCTGTGGATGTGACATCGTCTTTTCACTCTTTGCTTGAACCCCAAAACTACCAGGAATAGTTGACCAGAGAGGTTCTGTTCAGCCACCCAGCTATCACCCAGCTCGACCAAACCTGGTTACCTTTGCAAGGTGTAAACATTTCATTCAAAGCATCCGAACTTGGGTTGTGCGCTTCTTGGAAGGCATCAAAGCTTATTCAGCAAACACAGCAACACTTGGAAGGGGTGGCGGCCTTGGCATATTGCATCCACCACCGCTTTCATCAGACACTGATATAAGTGGCGAGGTTGGAAAGGCCTTGCATGAAGCCAAAGAGGCCAAGACGGCCAAGCCTTGCTGTCAGCTGCTACACCTTTGACTGTTGCTTGCTCTCAATCTTGAAAACCTTGATGCTATCATGCTTAATCATGCTTGATCTGTTGCTCAAAAGCCTTCTTGAGATATGCGTTCGAGGATTTGTTTCAGCCTAGCAACTTCAGATTGACAGGGACCAAATGCATATTATTCATGTATTTGCCTTGTGTGACTCTTGACTCTACAGACTCTAAAGGAAGTGAAATGGCATAGTTTGGTCCAAAGCCGGAAGATTCCACAGCGGTGTTGTTTGAAAGCCCACACATTCCCATGGGTTCCTTTGCCTGTGAAAAGTGCTATGGGAGTCGTCGGGTCCGGGGCACAGAATTCATGTGTCAATCTGGAGTTGTTGACCAGTTCTCATGACAACGGACGAGTTGCAATGATATTGCGAGCGAGTTTCCCTAAAATTTAAGTTTTACCCCTTCAAAGCTGTCCCAATTCACATTTAAGAGGCTGTTGAAGCCTTTGAGTGAGCTATTTTCATAAAGTTGTGACCAAAGGTGCAGCCGCTGCGAAAGTTACAAGGACAGAAACTGCATTGAGATGGCGTTTTGGTCCTTAACGAGCCTGAAAAACATCCCTTAACATCCCTAGTCTCCAGCCGAGGAGACTTCCAAAGTGAAGCTGCTCAAGGAGTCGTTGACCCCATTGGCCAGTGATAGCATCGCCATTTTGGTCCTGATCTCAACATCGACAGATGTCCGACTCGGGACATTCGCGGGTCTCTCAGGATCTCACCGGACAGTCCTTGGGAAACACAGGCCGCGCCAGCCATTCAGCCATGTAAACTATGCACAAAAAACATAGGTATAGCCTATAGGATAACATAGGTATAGCACATAGGTATAGCACTTAATATAGAAAGATATAGAACGGTACTGTATAGAAAGTAAGGAAAGGCCTTGGAGAAATGCCAGTCGTTGTCGTTTACAAAACTGTTTCCCAAACCTCGTGCAGCAAGACCCTTGCATCTCATTTGTTTT